ATTGGCGGGTTTGGCGGGTGGGGCGTAGGAGTTCAGCCCAGGAGGGCGTCTTGCGGTTCAAGAACCAGCCCAGGCAGAGCCCGCCACACGAACCCACGAACGGAGGATGGGTAAGGAGGGAAAAAGATCTCAGGCAAGAATGGTTTCAACCAGCACCAGCCCAGCAAGCATCAGCGCCTCGCGAGCTGAGTTCGCAAGCCCACAGTTCCTGAGAGATATCAGCTCAGCTGGAAGGAATGTCTTGCCGTGAAACAGGCCACCTGATCTGATAGAGCCCTGTACGGATACGATATTGCTCACACATCGCGTAAAATATTTTCTACAGTACATACATACATAACATACATAACATACATACATACATACATACAAGACAAGTACTGTCAAGTAAAGGGCCGTACATACGGGTTGGCCTCAGGATGGCCTGCGAAACATTGTTCTCCAAGCGGGCCTGGGGCCTGGGGCCTGGGGCCAAGTGGCCTTCGGAGGAGAGTCCGTTGTGGTATTGGTGTTGGTATTGCCATCTGCCGTGTGCGTATCGCTAGCTCCGTTAGTATTCCCTGGTTGGCGGCGGTGGTGACGGCGGCGATTTGACCCGCTGTGCCTGCAAGGTTGCTCCTTCCGCCCTGCGCCCAGCCAGCCAGCGCCGACTGGGGCCCTCAGGAGCCTCTGGAGCCGCTGGAGAGGCTTTGATGACGGGGGCATGCTGTATTGTAGTGGGTATGTGTATTGAGGGATACAAGGGGCGTTATTTTTTGATGGAAATTGGCTTTATTTCTCGCCGTCTGGTCTTTTATTATTATTATTATTATTTTTAAATTTTTTTTATCCATTTTCTCAGTGATTCATTCGCTATTCTCATTGATCGATTTACATATTTTGACTGACCTCGTTGTATTTTTGATGCCAGGAGGTTTTTTCTGATCAAAAGAAAAAAGAATAAAAAATAAAACAAATCCTGGAATCCCGCCCTCTCTGGCAGACAAACTTTTTCTTCGATTCATATCCAAGAGAGTTTGCGGCACCCACGGTGCGGTACCCACGGTGCGGTCCCTCCCTTCCCTTCAGGAGTTCCACGGGCAAATATCCAACAAGCCGGCCTGTCCCAGCGTTACCCTTGCTGCTATTTGCTCATATTATGAGCTATGTCCAACTATTTTTGACTATCACCTGCTGGGGTTGCCGTTCCGAAAGAATCAGAAAGGCAAATAGTCAGCCCAAGTGGGGATACTTTCGAAGAAAGGGAACCAGGGAAAAAAAAGGTTGATGCCTCCAGATCGAATTCGATCATCCTTTATTGACCTGACTCTTTCTTTTTTTTTCTCTCCCTTGGCGAGTTGGCATCGCCGTCCTTTGCTCCCTGCCAACGTCTCGTGATACATCACGACCTTCTCTTCCTCATTTGCGCTGTATATCCCATCCCTCTCTTGTTCTTCCTCTTTCCTCGCCTTTTTGTTTCTTTTCCTATTTTGTCTCTTTTCTTTTCTTTTCCTTTTCTTTTTTTTTTTTTTTTGCCATCTTCTTCTAACCGGTTTATTCTCCTATCCCACTTCAACTCA